TCACAGGTGATTGTAACTAGTGACGTGAAATAACGCTCACGTCTATCAGTAACAGGAATAAAATAGCGTACGCCGCACGCCGCACCTCACAGAAGTTGCGCCGGCGCAGACGTGCGCCCGCCAACCCGCGTACCCGCTGCTCCTATCTACGGCCAGTCATTGGTCATTTCTGCAGCGCGTGTTTTTGGTGTGGACGTGTTGTGTGGTCTGCCTTTGAACCTATGTATGTATTAAAGTCTAGATTTCTGAAGCTTTATTTGTACATATTTATCGGAACAACAGTTATCGGCTACTATTGTCTGTGACTGTTATCAATTCTTTAATGTTTTGTTTTTATCGTAATTTAATTCCATTTGTGGTGTAATATTATTTCCTATTGTGTAAAATTTATGCAAATTTCAATTAGGAATAGGTCCTAAGATATTTTTGTGATTTTTACTGGTATGCTTTGTTGCAAATTGCAGTTAGTGAAATAACAAAGAGGTAGGTACTACGCCCAAATAACACACTGGGTGCTAAATATGGAATAATAAATTACAACGATTGTTTAGATTAACTGAAGTATGTTTACATTTCAGCAATCGGTGTAACCCTGAGACGTGCAGAATCTGAACTCCCTGCTCGACCGAGTACACTCCATTCTAATAAAGGTAGATTTTTCTGACATTTTGATTTCATTGTGTTATATGTCACATGTATTATGTGGATTTTAATACATATCGGTTATGTTCGAAGCATCAGCCATCCGAATTGCCCGGCGTTCCCTTCTCACTTTTCGCGAAAGACAATTCATACTAAACATACTTATAATAAAAATGCCAAAGTTTAGATGAACAGATAGATGTTAGTTTGAGTTTGTAGCCTAAACGGCTGGATGAATTTTGGTGAAATTTGGTATAGATATAGAGGATAGTCTGAATGAATACATAGGTACTCACTTTTGTTTTATTTTAATTCCACGCGGTCGGACTCGCTGGCGAAAGCTAGTCTATACTTTAATATAATAAGGCGTAAACACACACTTCTTTGTTGCGTAAGATGTCAGCAAACACAGCATATTTTCGAAAAACTCTTTTTTTTTTAATAAAAAGTCCTACACTTACGTCACGCTTTAGGCCATATGTATTTTCACGCTGTTAAACTTAGGGGTAAATATTTTTGATAAAAACCCTAATGTGGGAAAGAGACCGTAAGTTGTTGCCAACATCAAGGAAGAAAGGTTGCCATGGTTTGACATCATGTCATGTCATTTTGACATTTGCAATTGATAATTTGACAAATGCGAACAATAAAATGAAATTTTTATAATTATATGCGGATGAAGTCGCATGGGAACAGCTAGTTAATCTATAAAGCAAGTCCTGTTGCCGACAGACATGACAACAGTTGGTTAGTGATAATATAATAGCATGAATTTATCTAGAAACAAAGTAGCGAGTCAATCACAAGGATCAAATCGTAACTTATGTTCACGAGTCGTCGGGATTACTTATCTGAGTTATAAATTCTCAATGACGTAACCTCTTCATTAAATAACGAAGTACTTTAGATAAGAAACTTATAATGTATAGACATATACACGTGCTGCAAAAGATTAACGTATTTTATCCGAGAAAGTACAACTGTGATATGGTACAGCATTATTAGAGGGAGAGAGTAAGAGAGAGAGAGAGAGAGAGAGAGAGAGAGAAAACATTACAAGAACTGATCATCTTACGTTATTTAAGTATTCAGTCGCTAGTAACTAGACATTTAAAGAATAATTAATTACAGGTGTGATGTCTTCCCTGCCGGAGGACACAACGAAAGAGTTTTTCGAAGCAATCGACGAATGTAATACGAGTAAAGTGGAAGATTTGCTGTCATCAGGTCTAATCAATGTAGACGTTAAAAATCCGACATTCCATGATCGTTCTGCACTCCACATCGCGGCTTGCAACGGCGACATTGAATTGGTGCGTCTTTTGATCGACAACTTCAATGCATCTGTCAACATATCTGACTCACGAGGACAAATCCCTTTAGAAGTCGCTACAGATTATAGAAACATAAATATAGTAAAGTTTCTAATACAAAAAGGATCAAATAATCCTGATTATGCTGCTCAGTATTTGAATACCGAAGAAGTGGAACAATTGTTTACGGCGGCCAGAGCCAACGACATAGCAGAAGTGACGCGTCTGATCAGTGAGAACGGATTAGATGTGGACACGGAAGATAGAAGCGATAATAACAGCACCGTTCTAGAAGTCGCAGCAACTAACGGATATTACGATCTCGTTCGTGTTTTAGTAGATCAATTTCATGCAGATGTTAACCACAGCGATGATCTGGAAGAGAGCCCGTTGATTATGGCCATGAATAATAACCATGACAATATTGCGAATTTCTTACTCGAAAGAGGAGCCACAAGGGTTTTAGAAGAATCTAGTGAAGATTCTGATTTTAGTTTTAAATTGCCACTTGACTAGTATTAACTATATTTGTGTGTATTTTTTTAATTAAGGAACTAAATTTAAAAGTGATCAATATGGAAAATCCACAAGTTTTGTCTTTAGATATGCTAAAAGGTATCCATGATGAGGTGAGCAGTCAAATATGCGGTGAAGTCAATGACCATATTGTATCCTGTTTAGAAATTACAGCATTGGATGATGAAAATGTAACCAGTTTAGACGAACTATTACAAAGGAAACGATATGCATTTGAATGCCTAAGAGCAATTTCTTTTAAGTTTTCTGACGATTTTATCCTTATCTTTTATGACAGTATTATTACGTCTTTACAATTACCCAATTCTGAATCAGAAGTAAATAATGGTATAACAAAATTGAACGAATTCATGAATTCGCCTTCGTCACTTAAAGAGAAATTACTTTTATTGCAATCATTTCTAATATGTTTGTGTGAAAGTGACATAACATTATCTTTGTTCCAACAGTTCAGTTCGCATTACTGGCGTAGAAAATTATTGTTATTTGCTTTGTATAAAAAGAATGGTGCTCTTGATATAGAAACCGTTGAAGCTATGACAAAGGCAATTGAGGAACTTGATGAGTTTTTTATAGTAAACGGATTCCATTGGAGTATGGACGATTTTTTAGAAAAATTGGTTTGTCACCCAAAGTTAAATGTTTATTTCACTTTAGAAGTGTTTCTAATAATACGTTTGCAACCTGAAATATTTTACATCCTGGGAAGAGATGCCGCTTTATTTGAAGAAAAAATTATCGAGTTAAAGTATTTATCGTTTGTGCAAAATTGCACTATTGCGGATCTTTTGTCCCAAAATAAGTTTGACTCCTTGCAATATATTTTAACTTTTCCACTCCCGGTTGTAATAGGTATCGCGAGTAACATGACTTCTAATAATTTTGAGCCTATGATATTTTTCGTCGAATTGCTAAAATGTAGTGGATTTGAACAAAAAAATAGAGATGAATTTTTGGTCGCTTTAAACTTCGAAGATGACGTAGAAACATTAAAATCGAAACTTATTTTTAATATTGTAAAAGAAGTAATAAGCGTCTTTTTTTCTCGTTATAATTATTTTAAAGGTAATCAAGTGACCAGCAAACCTGTTGAAGTGTGTATAGAATGTAGGTGTTGCGATCCCCAAATAAATTGTAAACTTCATAACACTGAAGAATGTTGCAATTTATTGCATTCCTTAAATAGATTATTACCTAAATTTATGTTACATTTCACCGACGCGGAAATAATTATAGATACCATCAACACAATCTTCACAAATATCAATAATTCTAAACAAATGTTATCACTTATAAATGGTTTAGAAATACTGGAAGAATACGACTTTCATTTAGATCAATCGGAATTCAACAATTTGCTATTAAATTTCACTTCTAAAAATTATGTACATAAGGTGCATCAAACTGTCGTAGAAAATTCTTTCTCAGGTACTTATGAAAAATCACGCGAACAAGCAATCGAGGAAATTGAAAATTTAAATCCAGAACTTACTAATTCCGTAATTGAGTTACTTATCGAAGTTACTGAGGCATATGAAAATAGATCATGCTTATTTCCAGACCAGGATCGTATCAATACATGGTCTAAAAGTCAAATAGAGGTATGGGCTACCTTAGCAAGACAAACTAAAGTCAATGAGGCTGAAAAATTAGCCGTACTCAAACGGTTACTCAATGTTACTATAGGATTAAGCTTAAGAGATGTCCAACTATTAGTCGTGATTGCCATAATTAAATCGAATGTGGGTAAAGGCAGGTTATGTCAGGTCAATACTGGTGAAGGTAAAACCATAATTATTGCAATGGTAGCGGCATTTAAAGTCTTAGAAGGACATACGGTTGACATTTATACTAGTTCGCCAGTTCTAGCTATTCCACAATCATTGGAATTTACCGAATTCTTTCAAGCCTGTAGTATATCCGTTACAAATAACATCAATCCAAATTCAGATTACACCTGCAGTGTAATTTATGGAACTAATAGTTCATTTCAAAGAGACGTCCTCAGTAGTGAATTCAGAAAAAGTAATGTAAGAAAGAATCGCCAATTCGACGTTGCAATAGTTGACGAAGTAGATAATATGCTCATCGATGGTAACAATTGGATTTTAAAGTTGACTTCTGATATGCCAGCAATGGATCATTTGGAGACTGTATTGGCTGCAATTTATATTCAAGTCAAATCAGTAGCGAGTACATTAGTAGAAAAAAATGGAGTCGTTTATTATAGAGAAGAAGATGAAGCAATTCAGGAAAATGGGGATCTTAAACCGGAAGTTAAATATAGAGATATTCCAATTGAAGAAAGCAAAAGAGACTTTATTATTAGATGTACTAATACCCATATAAGAAAGTTAATACGTGATACTGATCACGAAACGGCAGAAGAAGGCTATCCCGAAATAAAAATTCCAAAGCACTTACGGAAAATTGTTACAAAAAAACAGTTGAGCAGTTGGATTAATAGTGCTGTAGAATCGATATTCGATTATGCTCAAGATGAAGATTATGTTCTTTATGATGGAAAAATTACTGTAGTCGATACAAACAATACCGGAGTTTTGAAAAAAAACACCACTTGGTGTGATGGCTTACATCAATTTTTGCAAATGAAACACGGAGCTAAAGTGGCACCGGAGAATTTTACATCAAATTTCATATCTAATGTCGCATTATTCTCTCGGTATTCGAATATTTCCGGCTTGACTGGTACTCTAGGAAGCAAAGATACTAGGACATTTTTACATGAAACATATGATGTCGACTCTGTTATTATTCCTCCCTTCAAGCTTAAACAACATAAAACACTGAAGCCTATTATTTTGCGTGATAGAGAAAGTTGGCTTCTTAAGATTGCACAAAATTGTATCCAGAAGCTGAATGAAGGCCGTTCAGTTTTAATTATTATGAATTATATAAAAGAAACAGAAGAACTAGCCAAGGTGTTTACAGAGAAATTTAATTACAAGAATACCAAAATAAAACTTTATACGATGGACGATAATTCACAGGTGGTTGCGGCACCTATGAATCCAGGAGATGTTATAATAACGACAAATATCGCTGGAAGAGGAACTGATATAAAATTGAACAAAACAATTGAAAAAAATGGTGGCTTACATGTATGTCTAACATTTCTTCCAAAAAATTCAAGAGTAGAAGAACAAAATACAGGCAGAACATCAAGAAACGGCAATAGAGGAACAAGTCAATTAATTTTACTTGTGCCTAATAATGACTCTATATGTATCGATGATTTAAAAAAAATACGGTCCAAGAAAGAAACGTCCCAAATAAAATCAGCAACAAACACTGTTAAGAGGGTGAAAATAAAAGACAAAATTTTCAGGCAATTCTGTGATTGTTTAAATGAAATACAAGGACGCAACTCGATGGTTAAAGAATCTGAACTTAAATCGGTGGAAGAACAATTTGCTTTTTGGATAAAGATGCACGAAGATGAATTTGATAAAAATGATACAACGATATTAGAAAAATTTGACGAGTTCAAGCAATCTGTCTTAGAAGATAACAGAAGAGGAGCATTGATAAAAAATCCATATTTTTTTGTAGAACTTGGTAATAATTATTTGCAAAACGAATATGCCAATGCTATTTCTGAATATACAAATGCTATTAATTTAGATGAAAATTTCTCAGAAAATGCTTATTATAATCGCGCCTGGGCCTACTTAAAACTCGATGGACATGACCATTATTTCATAAACAAAGCGATTAGTGACTTTAAGGCTGCTCGGAAACTAATTTGCGAGAAAGAAAACGGTTTGCATCTGATGCAAACGGCTTCAAGAAGTGATGTGTTTTCTGAACAAATAATGAATAAATTAAGTCTTTACAACATACAAAAAAATGTCATCGAAATGGCAATTGGACCGGATAAAGAATCTATTAACGCACAACTAAAAGAGATAAAATCATATCTAGAAAAATCGGATGACTATGAACAAAGACAAAATTTAATCAAAGTCAGAAATAAACTCGAGGAAGACAAAGAAAATATCGGCGTTATTGGAAGAGCAATAGAGAATGAACGCGACATAAAAATAGAACCTCTATCAGATGATTTACTACCAAAAGAAGACAAGAAAAAATATAAACAGGAACTTGAAGAGTTTGAAAGGAATGGTTGGATTAAAGGTTTTAAAATAACTGAAGTAAAGCCCATAGATTGGCTGAGTGTTATTAGTCTTCTTGGAATAGGATTTGGACAACTAGTAATAGGCGCAGCAATAACTGTCTTTAGTCTCGGTGCAGGATCCTCTATTGGCATGGGTCTTATTTCCGAAGGTGTAGGTGATATCATAACAGCAGTTAAAGATGGAATAATAAACAGGGATTTTGACTGGGCGACATGGGCCTTGATGAAGGTTATAAGTTTGACTGTAAGTGTCGTATGTGCAGGACTTAAAGCAATCAAAGACGTTGCTCGCACAGCTTGTTCGGGTGTTAAGAACCTCGCTACTTCAGGTATGAAAGCTTTCAATAAGATGGCATCAGAAGGATTTAAAGTTGCTGCAAAAAGACTTGGCTTTGAATTATCAAAGGGAGTAGCGAAGGAAATAGTTACGCAATTAGTTAATTATGGCATCGATAAAAGTTTAATTCCTTTAATAGAAGAAGCAATTATTGAATTGATAAGAGGTCCTATTGAAAACGCACTTAGTACAAATTCAAAAGTAATAAGTATGTTACAACTAGACGTGAAAAATAAAAATCACGCGTTTGAAAATCAAATAAGAGCTATAGGGCAGAAGTTGTTACAGCCGGAAGTAAACAGTAAAATAAAGACACTAGCTATGCACACTATTGGCTGTTTTACGGGTAACTTAGGTTTAGGCACAATTCATAAGGTTCTAACAATACTTAAAGGTTCAGTTGATTTTGGTACGTTTACTATGGAATTCATAACTAAATTAAATAAAGAAATAGGTAAAATCGAATTCGAAGAAGAAAAAAGCTCTAGTGAAAATACTGTTCAAGAAAACGAGAACGCAGAAACACTAGAAGAATCTGAAAAACGGTCTAATGATGATATAGATTTGAGTAAAGTAACAGCACAAGATGAACAAGTACATCAAAATAGAAAACAATGCACGCCTAGTGATTTATCTTGTGAATTTGCTGGTTTAGTATCTACGAATATGATTCAAATTATGAAAGGAAATATAGTGTCACCTATTACCCAAATGGCGGTTAGCTACGGTGTTGATAGCTTATCTTCGAAAGTTTATCATTGTTTAGAGACTGAAACGGAGAAATTTAGAGCAGGTAGGCGAATTTGCGACGATAATAATCGCAAATATGAAAACACTAGTACAAACGACACGAATGTTCAAGTAAGTGATGAGCATTTGGCAGAAGTAAATGCTTTAATTGATCAAATTGAGTCAGGGGGCCCAGTAACTCTTTTCCATTTAGGTGCACTTAGTAAGGCAGCTGATACTCCCATAGAAATTTATGACCATAACGGAGACCTTATGTTTCCTGTTCGCAGCGATAAAGGCGGAGAGCCAATCAAACTTCAGTATCACGGCCAAGAAAATAACATTGGACACTTTACACTACTCGGTAAAAGTGAACCCTTTGTAATGGGTTCAGGAGACAACATGTGTGCATTCAATTGCATCGCTCAACTAAGTAACAAAGATCCAAATCAACTGAAAGCCGACACCATCAATATATTGAGAAGCAACAAACACGTTGTCGCCTCTCGGCTCGATGATATTAAAATGATAGAGACAGTCCAAAACTCAGTTTTCAATGTGAAGGGTGGATCACGTTATTACGGTAAAAATTATTTAGATGCAATGCAATACATTTCAAGTTCAGAAGGAAAATACGGGTTTGGTAACACAAATGCCGGTCATCCAGAAATTCATATTTCGTACAAAGGGGACCCGAAAATCAGAATGGCTATGGTTTCAGATGCTATCGGGAAAAAAATTATAGTAAAAGATAAAAACAATCGAGAGTTGTATAGAACTGGCGATCACCATAAGGGAGATCCAGTAATATTCCAATTCAATGTAGATAAAAAGGATCCTGATAAAAGTTATTTCTCCGAACCGGGCAGCACTGAGAAGTTATACTTCCATGAAGGCAATGACGCTAAATTTTATTCATATCTCGGAAAAAAAACTAATAACAAACCTGAAGATATTAAAAAGAAAACAACTAGTAATCTCGATAATCTTAAAGTACCACAAAACGCCACTTGCGTGGAAAACAAGCCTGCAACCAGAGTGCCACCTACAGGGTTCTTTACAAAAGAAGATGAAGGTTTCGTTTTAGATTACGTACTAAAAAGTAAAATGGTCCAAACAAAACTGAACCATATAAACCAATACAACGCTAAAAGTAAAAATGGTAGGAGCTATACTAAAGCTCATCTTACTATTCCTGTACAAGATTTAGCTATGCCTCGTGATGTGATCGCAGGCCAATGGAACAATGGCAAACTGATTTGCAAATTTCCAGTTAAGAGTGTTTTTGTTTTATTACAACACCACGACGGACATCAGAGCAATAAAAACGCACAAGTACAAATTCAAACAATATATCCTATATATTAAAAAGAAACATAATTATATTTTGTTGGTTATGAGTGTGGAAGGGTACATCGGTAGAAAGAAAAGGATGGATTGCGTGAAATGTGCCATGATCAAGAAGGGAGTGATGACTGGGATGACATATGCAAGAGTTATGTGCAGAACAAAAACCTGTTGCGCCGACCTTACGGGAGTAGGATAAAGATGGAGATGATGATGATTTTGTAATTAAATAAAATAAATAGTCCTAAGCGAATTATTTTCTAAGCATATACTTGAGATATCAATTAACATAATATAAATACTATATTTTTTATATTTACCTTTTTTTTCATGTTTTGTATTTGCATTTTAAAATTATAATAAAGCGAAAGTTTAGATGGATGTTTGTTGGAGTTTGTAGCCTAATCGGCTGAACGGATCCCGATGAATTTTTAGCATAAATATAGGGGATAGCCTAGAATAACAGGTTATTCACTTTTGTGTTTTTTTAATTCCACGCTGACGGAGTCTTAGACAGCAGCTAGTCAAAAATAATAATCACTATTTAATATTTGGCCAGTATGCAGTCATGAATTGCTAAAAGCCATAAAAGCAATAATGAACAAACTGGCTTTTTTTGTTCAAAATTTTTAAATTCCTGAATAGTCAATTACAAGTGGTATTTGAATTTGGAATGCTTGCGCCACTAATCAAAGTGTTCAAATGCAAACACGAATAGAAATACAAAAATGCAAAGTTTCTTGCCCTTGCATTGCCCTCGGCGAGGGATTGTTTGGGCGCAAGCTGAATTAATTCAAGCCTTTGCAATCCGACTTCTACGTGAGATATGAGAGGCTTTGTCATAGAGCAACATTCATAGATGGTTACAATATTATTTACCTAAAGGACTTTTACAATATACAGCGTGGATGAAATGCGATGTCTTCTTTTTATTTCCCTGTAGTGGATTACTACAATAAAAACATTTTAAATCTCATAGTATTGCATAAGTTCAAGTAGCAATAAGCTCTTTTACGCTAAATAAATCATTTCTATATTACACTAGTTTTCTACTTTTATCTATTTTTTTTTATAGGAAAAGCGGGCAAACGAGCAACGCTTGATAATAAGTTATCTGACGCCCATGAATATCCGCAATGCCAAGGGTACTGCAGATGCGCTACCCGCCTTTATCATGTCATTTTTTTTGCAATGGATGCAAAAAAATGACATGATACTCTTTAAAATCTAAAACAACATACAAATTTAAGTATTTAAAATGTAAAAGTAATATTGACTAGTATTGTTGAACCTGTCTGTAACGAGCTTTACTCTTTGCCTTAGGGTTCCCTCATTTTCCCTCCTCCTGCAGTCTGGCTTTGTTTACGAGGGCGTGCGGCCGTTGCTCCGTGCCTTTACCTACGCGCGCGTGTCGAATTTAAAAATAAAACTTATTTGGCGCGCACCGATATCCTGTTCCTTGGATATGTGCATTGATATTTTTAAACAGTGAATCAACATACATAGTTTTATAATCATTATCGAAAATATTTTAACAAGTGAATATTTAAACAAACAAAAATAAATTCTCGCCAGTGCAACCAGTTCGACTGCTTTCGTTCCCTTTGAGGTAGAAGAAATATAAACACGATTGTTTATTATGAAATGTAATTTACTTAAGTGAATAGTGAATATTTGATATTACTTCGAATACTTTCATCGCACCCAAAATGGATTGGCGGGAGAAACTTTTCGGCAAAGTTCTTGTTAAATGTGATTCACCGGGTACACAAAATGGCCAATTCGAGAATGTGCCAACATTGGAAGCATTGGGAGACTGCGTGGAAGATGGGGAAGGAGCTGTTTGTGGGATATATTTCTCGTTTGCGAACATCAGCGATACGAGTGATGACTTTGGGGTTAGGTTGGAAGATGTTTATAAGAAGGTTGATCCTCGCCTGAAGGTGGTCCAAGTGGTCCTGTGGGCGCACGTAGGGACACCGGAGGGTCCTGTCGAGAGGGAAGCGGGATTCCGGCGGAGCTTGACCGGCAAGCCGTGGTTTGCTGTGCCCTTTCATGATGTTGATATTAAGGTAATAAAAATAAGTTAACAACTTAATCTACTTAATAACACATTTGCCATAGTTTAAATTGATTTTCTATTTTTTTTCAACATCGAATGTTTTGTAGAAATTGCTATCCGACCTTAGAAAACTTAAATAGAAGAGACCTATGTGAGAAGACTTAAAACTTAACTATGGTTTAATTAGAAAGCATAAAAACTTAACTATGACTTTTTCTCGTAATTTGCTTGTGTTTTTTTAACTTAAGTAAGAGATATCTTTTAAGTTTTTTTTAAGTGGTTTTATTGTTGTAATATTCTTGTTGTTATTTATTTTTTTCAATCTTTCTTATTAATATTCATGTTTTATTTTTATGCGAATGTACAACACCAATATTAAAATGTAGACATTTTTATAATCTTACAAATAAGCTTTTTTAAGGAAGTTATGTATTATTTCTTGACATAGTAAGAGCACAACAAGCTGGTTTTATTATTTTTTGATTCATTGCGACGTTTATTGCTATGATAAATTAGGGCACGTATATACCAACGTAAAAGCATGAATATTCATTAAAAAATACATTGTTTGTTTCTAAGTAAAATAGCCGCTATGTGGAAGTTTTTTTTACTTAATTTCTACGTTTTATTTAAATGAAAAATAGTAGTTATGTTACATATAATGATAAAATAATATGAAATAAACCGTTGTTCGCTAGGGTGGTCCGTTCGCAGTGTATTCAACCCGAGGCCGGGCTAATAGCTATCCGCTGATATGCACAAGACCCACTACAATTGCTTAATTAAAGCCGCGCTAATTGCCCTGCCTTGCCTAGCTTTCATTTCACGTCATGTGACGTAATCAATATTTACATACACTAGCTGTTGACTGTGACTTCGGCTAAGTCAAATTAAAACTGAGTATTAATAATAATGCGAAAATTTAGATGGATGGATAGATACATGTTTATTTGAGTTTAACAGATCTCGATGAAGTTTGATTCAGATATAGAGTATAGTTTGGAAGTACGTCTAGGCTCCTTTTGTTATTTTTTTTATTGCACGCGGACGGAATCGCATGCGAAAAAAAATTTATCTATCTATGTTTCTTGACTAATGTAATAAAGCGCAAACACACACCACTTGTGGCGTAGGATGTCAACAATCACAGCATATTTTAAAATAATTGTTTCTTTAATAAAAAGGCCTACACTTACGACATGCTTTAGGCTATATATTTTCATTCTATTAAACATAGTAGATAAAATGTGGAAAAGGGAACATAAACTACAAGCTGCCAACATCAACGAAGTAAGGTTGCCATGTTTTGTCATGTCATTTTAACATTTGCAATTGATTATTTGGCATATATAATTAATAAAAGAATATTTTCATAATTTCATGCGAATGAAGCCGTAAGGGAAGTGCAAGTAAATAAATAAGAGGGTTGTTTTTAAAAACGAAATGCGCTATACAGTTAATTAGCAAACTTTCAACCATATACTCGTAACTTTTAGTTTTGCTTTATTCCAGCAATGAGTTTACAAATTCTGGTAATGGAATTCCTAACTGTAATTGTGTTTTTACTTTTTTGCTTGTTGTTAATACGCTATCTATCTATTATATTATACTATTATAATAAAGCGTAAACACACTTCTTTGTTGCCTGAGATGTCAGCAATTACAGCATGTTTTTAAATAATCCTTCTTTTAATAAAAAGCCCTACACTTGCGTCACGCTTTAGACTACATTTTAACGCCATTAAACTTAGGTGGTAAATATTTTTGATAAAACCTTAATGTGGGAAGAGACCATAAGTTACTGCCAACATTAAGGAAGCAAGACTGTCATCATGTCATGTCTTTTTGACATTTGCTATTGATAATTAGACAAATGTAAACAATAAAACAAAATTTTCATAATTATATGCGGAGTAAGTCGCACGGGAACAGCTAGTAATACGATATGTATAAGGAGTCTAAGAGCGTGCGCACACCTTTGACTAAACTAGCTAACAACTGTTGTGTTGATTGTTTGCCTAGATCCGTTTAGCATTTAAGGTTACAAACTCTAACAAACATCTTTCGTTCTAAACTTTCGCATTTATAATATTATAGTTATTACTTGCGACTTCGTCCGCGTGAAATTAACAAAAATAATTAACAATATAGCCTTTGTTACTCACTGATAGTGTTTTCAATAGAAAAACATTGTTTTTAAATCGCCCCAGTAGTTTTTGAATTATTTCAATACATACAAAAATACAAATCTTTCCTCTTCACAATATTAGTATAGAAAAAGTTTCTCTTTCTTCACTGCAATATGAAACCGTTCACATATGTAGATAAAGAAATACAAACCAAACAAAACCGTCTACAAACATCCAAATCTAGTCAGCAGACCGTAATATTATAAGAATTTTCCCGTCAAAGTTTCTACGGCCCGCTATTCAAGCGTACGCAATATGCCCCCACCGTAATTACTAAAAGGGGGATGTATCACCCTAAATTACTTCCCTACCCTCGTTCACCCCCTGGGGGGATATTTTTTGGTATTGCTACTTAGTTCAGGTGGATACGTGGATTGTCATAGGGAAGCGTTGCCGTTCTTTTAAACAAATTAAACGATTAAATTTGAATTGATAATATTAGGGGGCACATCTGCTGTGATATAAATGCATAAAGCGTTTGTATAATTATTTTTAATTGTTATATCTGTACTGATGAATAAAAAAATAATTAATTAAATGCCAGTAAGAATAGCGTAGGTTTATTTAAAAAAAATACTAATTTAACTCTTAGAAAGACATTACTTTGCCCAATTAATTAATGAAGTGAAATGAAAAAATTATCCCTTTCTCTTTACCACCCTTTTTTTATAAGGAGAGGTTGGGAAGGGGAAGTGGATTTGACGGTGCAGGAGATGCATAGGAAGGGGAAATATCCTCTTTATGTGCGTCTCCTCCTCCGTCGTATAATGGTAGGCAACGCATCGGCAATTGCGGATGTCTATGGGCAGCGGTCGCTTCGCCATTTTGGCGGATTCTAGTGGCCGCTTGCTCGTTTGCCACCTTATGTTATAAAAAAAAAAAAAAAATATTCTTATGGAAGTGTTTATTCGTCACAATCATACTAATAATTATAAATGCAAAAGTTTGGATGGATGGATGTTTGTTAGAGTTTGTAGCGTAAGCGACCGAACGGTTTTCGATGAAATTTAGTATAGATATAGGACATATGAATGCCTGGAAGAACAAATGGGCTACCTTCATAGCCACTTTTTTTTGTTAATTCCACGCAGATGGAGTCGCTGGCAAAAGCTACTAGATCATAAAAATGTATTGAGTCGAGTCTCCCTAAAAAGGTTACATTCGCCAGAGCTAACATGTGAGAGGAACAAAAAAGGCATGGAGCACTCGCTTGACATTTTACGTGACGTCGCATTCATTTTATCTTATTAACACATTACTGAGATTTATTTAAAAAAAAATACTTATGAAAGTTTGTATAAGCATTTTCATAACTATAATCTATATCTATACTCCTACACTAATGTTATAAAGAAGAAAGTTTTGATGTTGTGGATTTTCAACTATACTATTATAATAAAGTGTAAACACACACTACTTTGTTGCCTAAGATGTCAGCAATTACAGCATATTTTTGAATAGTTCTTTTTTTAATAAAAAGCCCTACACTTATGTCTCGCTTTAGGCTATATATATTTAACGCTATTAAACATAGGGGTTAAATATTTTGCATAAAACCCTAATGTGGAAAAGAGACCATAAGTTGCCGCCAACATCAAGAAAGCAAGATTGCCAAGGTTTGTCATGTCATGTCATTTTGACATTGGCAATTGATAATTTGACAAATCTAAACAATAAAAAAAAAAATTAATAATTTCACGCGGATGAAGCTGCACGGGAACAGCTAGTATGAATTAGTTAAGCTAGAATAAGTTAAGCTTAGTTATCAGTGAGTAACACAGGCTAATGTTTTATAACATTTTTTTATCCCACTTGGACGAAGTCGCGAGTAACAGCTAGTTTGTGAATAAAATGAACGAATATCGACATAAAACACAACGTACACAAATTCAATAGCCTTGCTACATTGTGTACTCAAATAAAGATGAGGTAATCGAATACGTCGCACAATATGAGAATTTAAATATGTTTTTTGTATGCAGAATCTACATAGCTTCAATTTTTTTTCACAAATACATTAACTACTTGAAATTAAAATTCATTTCGAGATGCGGTTGTGTCTGTTTATAAATTTAATCTAATATAAATACTAATAATATAAAATTAAACAGATCTAGTTTCGATTATGATAAATGTATTATTAATATACTCGTAGCAGACGTCGGAAGCTGGGACCCACGCGTTCACTGTAAGCGATGTAATTCGAACGGGTCTTAGCTAGGGAGACGGTTCGAGTGACCATTTGTATCATATTTTCAGGACAGTTTGAATTTCGAAACAAAACAAAAATGTTTATAAAAAATTAAATATATGTACGAGTAATTAGCCAGTAATAAAAAAAACAGTCCGGAACACCAAAAAGTTAAAAACAACTTTTTTTTTGTTCTCGTGTCCTTAAGCTATCAAAATTAAAACCGTCTTGTCCTGAGACTCCTAAATAAATAGTGTCACCACCTGGACGTAGCGTGTGGCAAGTGCACACGTGCTCAAAAACGCACGTCGATGTTAACACGCGGTATAAAAAAAGTAAACTGCACACACCGGGCAAAGGCGATTTATTCAGCCATGAACGTTAACCCTGCTAAATTATAACGGTTAACGATAACGTTATTAAGCTAAAAATATTGCTGGATTTTTTACTTTTTTACGATAACAATTTTTTTTCATGCACGTCCTACTACTGATAACAATCGAACGATTAAAATATGTGATGGAAAATCGGATTTCGGTCCCTTATCTGACAGTGACGTCTTTAAGCTATCTGAGCCTCTATCAGCCATTAATGGGATAAAACACAAGCTATATATTATTATCTAGTGCATGCACTCTCGTAGCAATGTTCAACCCGTGGCTGATTGTCATTGGTATCCGAGTACCATCATTTTCTATTGCAACGGATAATCAAAACAGTAAATACATCATCATTCTTGAGTACTCATTTTTCACAGATTATAAAAAAAAATGTAACAGTGGTAACAATATTTATTGCTATTTTGTTAGTACAGGCGCCACCAAAGTCAAATTTCCTTATTGGATTTATGTATGAAATTATATCAAGTATTTTTCAGTACTGTTCATAATATTTACTGCTTTACTTCGTAAATTAAAGACTAGATTAATCTTTTGATTAGTTAAAAACCTTACTAATTAAAGCTAACGTTTTAAATTAATTCAACTGATAAGTAGACCTATTTATGAGTTCTGTCATACACTATACCACAGACACGGCAAAACTACGCGGCATAATTTATGATAATTTTTTTCTTTGAATAGTTCAACGTAAATAACCTACAAGTACTTAACGAGACATAAGTACCAACTGGCAACAAACAAATATTTAAAAGGCAAATAGTCTGGCATAGGCAGACCCGTGTCGTTCAATAGCGTAGGGAAACGAAAACATTCCATTCATGATACAGGCTAAAGCGCAATATTCCAGACTCGAATTAATTATAACCTTTGAAACATAAAATGAAGCAAGTTATAAAAAAACTCGTTTTGATATTACGTCACTTGACTGTAGACGATATTGCGTACACTAAAATAATATGGCTTGAAAAAATAAACGATAATCTGTAAAAATGAAATCAGCCTTTATTATACCTTCAAGTTGAAAATGAGTTTTACAAATTTATCAACAAAACAAATCAAAACAACAATCACTATTTACTTATAACCTTTTGTTACATGTCATGGTGAGTGTTAAAACATGAAGTAAACGAATCATTACCATTTTGTTAGGTACAAAATTAATAAAACATCTTCTCATGAGTTAGATGTGTGATCAAATCTAATGCCCACTTAGGCTGGTCTCCAGGTACCCTATGCCCAGCATTCCTCACCATAATTTCCACCAACTTGCCAGCTTGCTTCACATATCCAGCCAACTCACCATCTACTTTCCATTGGTACCTTTTAGCAGTCTTATAATCCTCAGATCCAGTAAAATTGAGATGTCGTAAATAGTTAATTGTTGACGTATAAGGCACCATTAGATCAAGTTGGCCGCTATAAATGACTACAAAATAATGATCCAAAAGCTCCGTCATCAATGGAGCTACAGATTTCATCGCATCTTCTATCAAATAATTTTCAACTTCGTGTCCTTGGTGGAATGTTAAGTTACCAACATGTATTGCTCTTCTTACAAACGCCTTTTGTATCATAGGACCGAAATCTTCAAAATCTATATAATCTTTAGTATGTAAGTAATTGAAATAAAAATCAAAACCTGTCATATTGTGAAATATATTACCTAAAAGATTTTCAAATATCTCAAATGCTTTACTCCATTGTTTCTGTTGGATATATTCAATACCTTTCTTTTCGTAATCTTCAAAAACTTGGGCTTGATTCCAATCTAATAGACCTATTTGATACAGATGTTTGCCGTATACTATCTGATGTTCCGGATCACTCAGACCATTGCCAATTGCTAAAGCTTTTAGATTAATTTTAGTCTTTGCTGTTGGATTCTTTTTGTGTATTGTATAAGCAAACGCTGGTATATATTTGCCAGCATAAGATTCACCAGTAATAAAAAATTTATTCGCCTGCAACTCAGGGAACAACTGGAAGAATTGTGTGATAGTTGAATACAGTTGTTCACCAATCTGTGTCTCATTAGTACAGTAACCTTTGGGATCTTTTGTAAAACTAAATCCGGTACCAACTGGGTTGTCAATGTAAATAAGATGGTGGCTTATTGCCCAATGGTATTTGCGTAGTTTAATTTTTTTATCACTCACTCTTAATGGTCCGTTTTCTGTGAAAAGGCCATATAACGATGAATCTCCTGGTCCTCCTTGAAGCCAAACTACAACTGGTGCATCTTTATTGTTTGGTAACATCGCTGGGAAGTACCAGAAGAATTGATTTGAGTCGTATTTCTTGTCAACTGTGAAGAACCCTGCATAGCTTTTTATTTGTAGTCTTTCCGTTAATGGTACTCGAGCTAGTTGCCTAGCTACTGTTATGTTGCCGCTCTCGATGTATGGAGTAAGAAATAAAGGTGATCCAGGGTCTCCGTGCACTTTACTATTAATATTTAACTTTGGATAACGATGCAAGAAACAATTTATCGAAACTATCACTTCGAATAAAATAAATAAGCTTATAAAATATCGCGCCATATCTTTTTACACGTCAACTCTCATTGAGACTCGGAAAAAAATTAACGTGGAAATGAGTGCTGGTTAATAAATAAATTACGAATATCAAGAAATATGCAAACGGTAATCTTGTAACCCTCACCTTTTTATCATTGCTCAGTGCTCTATATATTCGTTAAACAATAACATTAACAAACAAAAGTGCATTTTAATTTCAAAACTATGTAACATTTGCGACCATACAGATAGAAATTGTACAGCGATAGCTTTTTTCCTTCTTCTAATCAATTTTTCCAGTACCTAATTCACTACATAATATATGAAACAGTTGAAACAAACAGGTATAACAAAATAAAAGAAAACTTCCCACCCGAATACAAAATTTAATTATGAACGTACTCGTAGAGTGCAAGGGTCTTTAAGTCCCCTCCTATTAACCATTGTTGTAGATGATATCTTAAAAAATGCTCAAGTCTCGTATACTGAAGTCAAAAATACGTACTGAAGTCAAGCTGAAGAGTCTTCTCTAGTTTTCTTAACAAGTAAACACTTCTTTTTTGTGCTGAAAAGTTGGAATTTTGTTAAAACATACGAATAAGAAATACCTGTACGCTTTCGGGTATTAAAGAATGGATATAAATAAAAAAAACATAGATTCTATGCTACGTTATTATATCTGTAAGTTACGTTATTATACCCGCTCTGAGTATATGTTTTATGCTCTGTGCATATTGAAGTTCGTATGCATCACATTCGTTCCATCTCGTTCTGCACAGTGTATTGAATGTCACATTTTCCTGGTGTACTATCATGGACTTTTTGCATATCAGTCACACATGTCCTTTGAAGTGTCGTTACGTATCCCGCAGATGTTTAATCACAAAGGCGGCTTTGACTTTGCATTTCAACCTTTGAATCCGCATGCATACTATAGGTATACTACTATCGATCCTGTCGGGCTCTGGCTAGACTTATTAATTGCTTTGTATCTGAACAAATAACAGACATCGTATTTTTAATGCTTATCCAAAGGGTTTATGTAAATGTAGATCAGTTTTAAATCTTGCTGCTTGTGTAATACAGTCCAAATTCCTTTAATTGCGTTTTCTATTTACATCTGTCGTCTCAATGTTAAATTAAGATTTTTCCGCCTTCCTTTCGTCTGGTATTTGAGTTATGCAAATCTTAGGACGTCTAACAATGTTTACATTGTACTAATCTGGAATTCCCTAATAACTTTTTCTCGTAGACACGTTTATTTTTTTTTATTCTGTACACTGCTATTCCCTTCAGGTAAACCTGACGGAGGGGTTTCAAAAATTCTTTGTGAATCAAGGCTCTGTTTTCTGGTTATGCTTCCAACAGACGTAACCTAGACATGTCGGTGTTAATATTACGATAGAATGTGGAATCAGTATATCTATCCACTTTCATACGAAGTGTTTGATAAAGCGGGCATTGAGAGCTCGTCGCCCATAACGTATGAATACCACGGGGAGTTGCATTTTAGATTGTGCCCGCATGTGCTATTGTTTCAGCTCAGTTGTAATGCGATGCCTCCTATTGACTGCTGATGGCCGTATGGAACAAACGCTTTCAATTATGCATAATTTACGAGCGAAATCATAATTATATTAGTGTGAAATTTTACAGAATCCTTCCGTAATATAACGTAGGTAAAGCATCTGATTAGTACAGAAACCAGAAATGTTGGGCTTCCTAATAACTGACTTGATACAAGCTTATATTCTACAGTAATCCAAATCTTTTGATTATCAATTAAAAATATCAAACTATCTTACTAATATTATAAATGCGATAGTGTAGATAGATGGATGTTTGTTGGAATTTGTAGTCTAGACTGGTGAACGGATCTCGATGATATTGCATAAATGTAGAACATAGTCTGGAAGAATACATAAGCTTTTTTTAATTCCCCGCGAACGGTGCGGGGGACAGTTAGTAATTCTATAAAGTATTATACAATATTATGGAAGCTTATCTCAGATTGCATTCTTGGCAAATATCACGCCAGACTTTGCATCGCGAATGCCCCGTCTCGTGTTTCCCAGGAGACTGACATCATCTTTGGCAATAGCCTCCAAGTATCACACGCTCATCTATGTTAATAAAACACTAGCCGTCTCCTGACTTTACACGTTGAATTTATTTTCTTACAAACCCAACAACGTCTTCTATACTTCCGAATAATATAATTGAAAAATATTGAAACAAGAAATAATTTCGATATAGTCACGGCTACAAAGATTTTGGTTATTTTAGTACTTGGCTTATTGATGTTCATTTTTTTTGCTTTTATAAAATTAAAAAAAGTTAGGATGATGATGCAAAACAGCAAAGCAAAACAAAGATGTGCGTGAGGTGCGCCATGATTTCTCTTATCTTAGTATTGCGAGGTCAACGATACTAGACACACGTACGCTCCATATATTATAATGTATTATTCAGTGAACCGAGTGGGTTATCTTAAAGTGCCAACGTGGCTTCAGTCCCCAATCGATACAGTTCCAGCGAAATTGTTCAATATACCGAATGGAATAAAATTTCGTATTCCTAAACTTGTAGGGAATTTTCATTTTATGACTCGCGATTCAATCTCTGCGGTTTATAAGGCTATATGGACTAAGGATATATCTTCCTGATTTATGAAAGTGCCAATAGCATAGCCAATAATGGTTTTGGGTGCGGACTACCGATCTTGGTTGGTGGATGGTTTGAATCCCGACATTCGACTATTGTCGTAAACCATATCCTAGCACAAGCCTAGAGCTTAGTTGGAGTGGTTAAAGGAAATATTAGTAAATTAACAAAAAAATCGAGTAATATATTTTTATTAAAAAAAACAGTACCCAGTATCGATTGCAAATCTTTAGAATTTATATAAAAACAATTGAAGGAAGATATCTAAACAAGTCGATGACAAACACTGTAATTGTTACAATTATTGTTAAAATCAACGTGAAATCATATTTACTAATAGAACAATAAAATTGAGAAGAGAAAAATAACACATGTAAGTCTTATGCAAGCAATGTTAATAACAATGTAAGACATCGTCAGACTGAATGGGGATTGCAGCAAAATATTTTCCGCGCAAGACGCCGCGCAAGGGCCCGCGCTAGGTTGACGTCTTTACAAGAGCCCTCCATAGGCCCTCGAGGCCCGCTCGTTTGCATCACGCTTTCAACACGGGCCTAAACACGCTTTTTTATGCAGCGAGTAATTCCGAGTTGTTATGCGGCGTAGGAGGCATATTATGAGGCGGATCATTATGGCGGACACTCGAAACTCGACAAAAGCGACTCGAAATTAGTTACTCCGCTGCTGTCATGTCCTCCTGGTACATTCACTAGGCTTGAATCCTATTTAAGAATATAAGAGACGTTTGAGACGCGACACAGCTTAAACCCTCTAATATGTTTACTACAAGGTTAACGGTTGTTATATACGACGTTGCTTTTTTTCAGTATTTTAAACATACATCATTTTCCGTACTCAATTAACAACAATCATCCTTTCATATTGTATTTCACGTACAGGAAATATTCGAAATCAGTAGCATAAGAGAGGGCAATCAAAACACAACAAAAGCCCACGGTGGTATCTCCGCTCGTATTCGCTATACTTTTTTCCCTTTCACCCGACACTTGGGAACAATGACGGCTCCCGATAAGGCAGATATTGCTTCCCCTGCTTTTGTTATTGAGCACTGCTCGTATTAAAAATAACGACTTATTATTTTCAATACACGTCTAGATTTTTTACAATGAAAAAGAAATATGCCTGTCTACTTTCTCCCTCTCTCTCTCTCTCTCTTAATGTAGCTTCTATCAGTAACTTTTTGTAAACATTCTCCTTGGTACCTATCTTATTTTAACAAACTATTTTTATTAAAACTGGTGGGGATAGTGCGTAATAATTACGTTATCTCACACCGCAGACAACGTAAACACGGCACATCGCAGTGGGGTTGCCATAATCGTCGGCAGTAATTTACCTAAGCTGGGGTGGCGAGTGGAGCGTAAAGTACAAAACCGAGAGGCCCTCCACTGATCCAGCCGACCGTGACGCCACTTAGGGCTTACAAGTCCTTAATCTTGCCAGTTTTGTTACATCAACGTTTATTTTTGAATAGCAACACTGTCCGGCTGCGCTCGGATATATTGATATACAAAATATAGGTAAACTTACTACCAGTATAGCTTTCTTTCTGGAGAAATTTTTAAAATTGCTTCTGGAGTTTCTAAGATAAACATGGAAATGCAATATTTAATATTTGTGGTCAGTTAGGTAATGCATTTATTAAAAATTCAGAACATTACTTTAATTTAGTAACAGCAATAAAGGCTTATTTCATTTTATTTATTAAGTAATATATAAGTGCATCGTCATTATGACAAACATCACAGACAGAAAATAAAAAAAAAACTCTAAAGTAATTTATAAAACTTTGCCTGCTATTTACTACAGTTTTTCGATTGAGAAATTGGTTAAGTTATTTAAGTTTCTAAACTGTGTAACATAACTAAAAGCGCAAACTTCGCTTTAGTAGCTACTTCATTATTATCAAACTTTTGCAGACTTTTATCTCGATCGGCTTTTCAGATCTCGGAGCGAGGGGAAGTTTACCGGCTGGTATGGTGCATTTTATTAAAAGATTTCACATTAATACTGAAGCCCTTTTATAAGCAAGTTGTAAACAAACTACTGTGTAAATAAAAATCAATTCTACATCTTTAGCTAGTAGGTTTAACTTAAAAAATACATTTCGTGAGTTTTCAATAGAATGTAATCAGATAAGTGAAGGTTTGCTCGATTTCCTCGCAGAGATCTCTGACGTAAACGGGTCGCTGCCGGGGCGTGTGCCCCGGAGACGTTGGGTTGGCGGGCTTTTAGCTGATTGCTGTACGCGCATTGTGCTGGCATTACTCACAGCCGAGCGACTGCAACGAGCCTGTTCATGCTCCAAATATATCTACATTGCGGTTCTTTTTGAATCCTTATGATTATTTTGAAAACTGCAGTTAGATCTTTTTACCACTAGCAGAAGTAGAAACGATGGAACAAGAAATGAGGTGATAGTAAAATATTATTGGAATATGGAAAATATCAAAGGGGAAACAAAATGCGTAATAAAGGCACGTGTGAAGAAAGAAAAATGTTATAAGAAATGACATTACTCAGAAAATTGAAATGGTGAATGCGAATGACTTTTAAGAACGCGCACACCTTTGACTTAACTATCGCATAACTGTTTAGTCGCGCTTTGATTCCTATTAGCTTATGTGGAGGTGGGCACACTACTTGATTTTTTGTTATGCAACTCAATAGCTGAATGGGCTGCGAAACAATCGACAATCTCACAACATTTTGGTGATAGTTTTATTTAGTTGTGAGATCACAGTTGTTAAAAGATTTTTGATATACGAAGTTAGATTTCATTTGTATCGTACGTGTAGTTTAATAAATACTGTCGTATATGTAAATATATTTCACTACGTTACAACGGATGTGTTATGTATGGGCAGTATAACAAACAAAACAAAAATAGCCGTCAGTTATCCGTCGACATCCGACTGGGGAGCTATTTATAACGCGCTAATTATCAACAAGCTAACTGTTAAAGTTAAAACAAACATGTTTGGATAGCTCTCTCGTGTGTGGTTGGCTTTATGTCTTCATTTCGCGGCTGGTTTACACGATCGTTAAGATTATTACACACTACATGATAATTAATTTGTTTTGTTAATGTGGTAGTTAATACATCAAATGTAAATATAGAGATGGTTCTACGACATAATATGATTCAATAAACTGCCGGTTTCCCTCGACTTTGTCATCGCTCAATTAAAAATAAAAATATCCTGTAAAATTTCCGCGTGCATCAAGTCCTTTCCCGTCAAAACTACCGTCTCCGGAAGTTCCTCGAATCCCTGTCTTGCGGTCAAACAGACATTTTTTTTTAAATTGGTTCTTAGTTATCAGCAACACGAATATATCTTGTTTTCAAAACAATCCAGCTCCATATTTTTATTCATATAGATATTAACCTAACTATGTTTTTCGTATTCATGTTACGGAATAAAACAAGAAGATATATTAAAATCATTTGTAATTCCAATTCGAGAAACGTTTCATTTATTATAACCTGCGTCGTTTTACTACAGAAATACCAATTGTATAAAACGATTGTCACGTAGATATTCCAAGGTCGTTTTGTCTGTTTCGCATTCCGATTGGCATCATTTTTTTGGCTTCTAGGAATACTAAATTTCTCTATTACGTCAACAATCGCTATAAATTATTGAATTACGAACGAATTTACTTTGACTTTGTATGTCTGTTTTTTGTGGTATGAATTTTGTGTTTGATTTCTAAATTAAATCTTATTCTCTTAGCTTGGAGAAACTAATTCAATCAAACTTTTTCTCTTGTTGCGTGGATGTTAATAAAGAGAAATAGGTTATGTAGCTAACAGCTATGTATTTTTATTTCGTATAAAACTTTTGAAGTAGATTATTAGTGTGTTCACGAGACCCGTAAACAAATGAGCTCGTAATTTCTAGTTGAACAACCACTGCACTTGCAACGCGGGTGCGCTAATTGGCACACCTCATATATTTTTAAGGACCCATTCATCATGATACTCGTAATACGTGCGTAACTTGTATGACGTCACAGATGCAATTTTCTAGAGGGCAAACACAGTATGTGTTCCATGCATCATCAGCCATATCTGACTTCTCTCCTTACGCTACTCTCTAAAGAGTAAAGATTTATGTTTTTGTATGCATTGAAAAAACTCAAAAACTACTACTACTATTCAGCCATATGACGCCCACTGCTGGCCATAGGCCTCCCCCAACGATCGCCCAAAAACTACGGGGCCAATTTAAAAAATCCTTTCACCAATAACTAGTTTTGTTATCACTGAGTAACATAGGCTATAGTACATTTCTTTCTGTGCGAGCAAGAACGTGGGCAATGGCTAGTCTTTTATAACGAATATAAATAAAGCATACTCGTATATGTATGTTTATATTTTACAGAAACACTCTTATTTAAAAAACGTAGTTTGTTTGATTAAAATAATCAAATCAAATATTTTGAACTTCATGTCTCGAAACGTTATGTTTACAAAATATAGCTATCTACAGTCTATACACGCCTTGATTATGTCAAAGGAAAATTTTAACAAACATAATTTTTCTAAATAAAAAATTATTAACCAAAACGTTTGTTTTTTGGTGCAATCCAGTTTTAACCTATAAATTTTCAATTTCATGAAGCTATGAAGTATAAAAAATTAAATTAAATTGAAATGACCACTTCACGTTTAAACAGTTTTTAGACATTTTTAATAAGGACGATAGTTTTAAAATTTGTAAACTGCTTTTTTTATTTTTTACGAAAATGTTTCAACGTTTTCGAGTGTCATCGTACCAGTTAACTGTAGGACACTTATTTGGCAATTCATAGAGTTTTATCATAGAAATAAACAAGCATTTTTATGTAAGTATCAAAAATCCTTTAAATTAATGTACATCGTACCGCATTTTATACCGCAAATAATTTAAGTAATTTATTTAAAAGTAAACTTTTTCTAACAAAAATGTACATAATTTCGTTTAATTGCCAGTGCCGTTTATTGTCAGACTACATCCATATGTCTATAAAATATTAATGTTGGCTGTAAAAAAAAAGTTCGACGTTGTCAATCAATAAATTATCCAGCGAAGAGATTGAAAGCATCTTTAATTTCACGGCATATTTATTCAAGTCACTCAACTGTGGGAATGGATATTTCATCCAATAAAAACGTGTAATAAATATGTAAATAACAAATGAACCGAGTAATTGGTTTTTTTTTATAAATGTGAAAAACAAAAAACTTTCTTTTTTAGATAATTATGTTTATGGTATGTCATCTATTGCAGTCGAGTCATCAAGTTAAGTTTTTCATTGTCTATGGAACTGGTTATGCAAAATTACCATAAACATAATTAGAAAAGAAAATGAAGCACTTGATTTAATGAAATTAAAAGAAACTAGCTGTTACTCGCAACATCGTCCACATGGAATAAAAAAATAGTAATTAAATATAACCTATGTTACTCTGTTATAACGTAGCTTTTCAATGGTGAAAGAATTTTTGAAATCGACTCAGTTGTTTTTAAGGTATTTAAAAGCAAACAAAAATACATATCTTTCATATTACTAATATTATAAATGCGAAAGTTTAGATGGATGGATGTTTGTTAGAGTTTGTAGCCTAAACGGCTGAACAGATTTCGATGTAGTTTGGTACAGATATAGAGGACACTGGAAGAACACATAGGCTACTCACTTTTTTTAATTCCACACGGACGGAGTCGCGGGCGAAAGCTAGTTTATAATATCAGTATAGATAATGAAAAACTACAAAATCAGTATTCAGATAATCTGAAACAAAATTCCATTTGCAGCGCCGTCTAACACAGAAGTACAGCATCGCCGTGGGTGTCCCTACCCTGGTGATCCGCGGCAGGCCGGTGAGGGACGCGTTACTGAACGACCCAGGGGGTGAGAGGTTCCCCTGGCCTGCTCCACCACTACAGGATGTTCTGCGAGGTGTGCAACTCCAGGGGGAAGCGGGGAGTAAGCTGTTTGAAGAGCTACCAGGAGATACTGTCAAAGTATTTTACTTCGCCGCACATTGGGTAAGCATTGACCATCAAGCATTTGATTTGGCACGCCAGGAAGAAGAGTTTCTTTTGGTCAATGTGCCAAGTCAACTGCCGTGTAATTTAAGAAGTACTTAATGGTTCTATTGTTTCCCCAAAATCAACTGATATAAAAGAGCCTTGTCAATATTATGCTAGCATTTCTTTTTTTTAAGACTTCAAAGGTGTAAAAAAAACAATGTCGAATCTAAAAATAGCAGCCACGTGGTAAAAACGTCGGTGGCAGGGGTTTAAGTCTATGACTTGCACTACAGGGCCTGGGTTCGAGTCTCGCCATCTACCAATGTGATTTTCGATTTTGATATGTACATAATTTACCCGACGTTCTTATGGTGAAGGAAAACATCGTGATCCAACATATATCGGCGAAGAAATTCAAAGATATGTGTGAAGTCAACCCGCCGCAGTGAAGCGTGGTTGACTATCGCCTAGTCAGTCCTTAATGAGGACATATAGAGCTGGTGATGATTATGTTAAATAAAAGCATCATTCTATTTCTTTTTTTTTTTCATTTTTCAAAGCAAGAGATTCAATAGTTTCAACCACTTTGCAGTGTCCACCTTGCCGTACATTCGCACCGAGCCTCTGCAACGCACTAGCGGCAGTGCGCAAGCGCAGAGCTAAATACACCAACACGCAGCTTATACTGGTATCCAGTGATAGGTGAGCAATAACAGATATTATATCAAGAAAGCGATATGTATGTTTATAATTTTAATTAGTAATTAGTTCAAATTCAAATTCATTTATTAAAAAAATCAACATAGATGTAGAACATAGTCTGAAAGAATACATAGGCTACTTTCTTTCGTTTTTTTTATTCCACGCGGTCGGAGTCGTGGGCTAAAGCTAGTTTATTATAAGAATATTATTATGACAAAATCAGAAGCTGCATTTAATATTAACATCATTCAAATACTCCCCAACTTTGAGAATCAAATTCGATTTGTTTGCGCTTTCAAGCGAATAATGAAATTTATGCCGAGGGTCTGTTCTGATTGTAAACAAAACAGACGCTTACTTCATCTGCTATCATTCTGTTTTTAATATCTGAAAAATATGTTTTTTTTATAACTCGTCTTTGCCTAACCAGTCAAAGAAACTGAAAAAAAACTTAAGGAACTAACAAACGCGATAAGTGATAATATTTAAATATTCTTAAAGTAATTTAACATAACCCCTTAAACAACAAAAATGACAGTTTCTGCTTAATATTTAGCTTGTACTTATAATTTGCTTTTAATATAAAAACCAGCAACATTCAGTTCTAACATCAAATCAAAAATAACTTTTCCTTACAAACCAACGCTTCGCAACAGCAGTCTAAGAAAAATTACAAAACCTCTCCCCAAATAACAATTACAAGGGGGTTGTAATATGAAACTACTGAAGAACCTAGTCAAAGAAATATAAACCTTATACTGATAGGTGTAAAGTTAAAAGTACTATCTAACACATAAAAGACAGGCCCACGTCGAATAAATGTCGGTGTTGACTAGGGTTGCCAAAAATGTAACAGAAACACGGATGCAACTTGATTTTTTTTGTTAATATTATAGTGGCGATTGTCGATTGTTTTGCAGCCAATTCAACTGTTTAGTTGCACAATTAAAAATCGAATAGTGTCCATATAAGCTCATAGAGATCAAAGCGAGACTAAACAGTGTGCGATAGTTTAGTCAACGGTGTGCGCGCGTTCTAATTCTAAATAATTATGTTGTTATTGTCTATGAGAATGGCTACACTTTTTTTAGTAATGTCTTGTATTACGTCAAATTAGTAATTAAAAATCCCTCAGCCACCATTGTGATTGTGTCACGTGCATTTATGTTCGTGTTTAATCCTGTATCAATATTTAATATCCACAAAAACACCGGAAGTCTGGTCACCGGAACGCACACAAGTCTGTGTACAGTGGGCCATCAAAAGCGAAGTGTGAAGCTTTGACGAGCGGCCACTTCTCGTTTGTCTGTGAAAACTAGCTCCCCATATATTCGATGTCTACTACGTTCCGTCAGCTTACGAATGACCCTTGTAGTGCTTCCGATTTTATGACTTTCTGAATTACTTTCTTATCAATTTCAAGATAAAAGATATACCATAAAAAATCGCTTGTTAAATCATCATACTTTATTATTATAAGTGCGAAAGTTTAGATGTATGGATGTTTGTTAGAATTTGTAGCCTAAACTGCTGAATGGATTTCGATAAAATTTGGTATAGATGTAGGGTATAATCTGGAAGAACATGTAAGCTACTCACTTTTGTTTTTATAGCTGTTGATAAGTTTTATAAACGTCAAGAGTCTTTTAGTGGCTGTCAACTAAATCCATTAGATCTTATTGTTGTAAATAAACAATGAACGAAAAGTACCTTTGACATTGTATCTCTTGCTCTAACATAAATTCAGTTCAATAAAGGTATAACTAGAATAGTAATATTCAATATCTTCTCGTATCCATTCCTGGAACGTCCAAAGTAAAGGAATAATCCCTCGGGCCTTGCTCATCCAATAACGGCACTAGTAAGGCTCCAATAAGAGATTATTTGAAGCCGGCAAACAAAGGGACTGCTAATGTCCAGTCTGCCTGGCTTCAAATCTAACTATTATAAAGTTATCGTCTTGAAAATTAAAAAAACTCAACATCGTTCAAGTCTTATTAAAAGTAAGATAAGATGGAAATTTTTTTGCCCAAATAAGAGTAAAAAACCTTTGTCATCATCTAAAAACATTTATACAAAGAGAATCCCCATAACCTAGAAAGTTGACTACGATTTAGTTAAAAATTACTTTCATCTCAAGAGTATTTATTAATAATATTAGTTAATTAAAAATAATTACAGAAAATTACTTACGTTTTAAAATCATCAAAAAGTAGCAGCAACCATTAAGTCAATAACAGCATTCAACGAACGCGTCCGTTAAAGAGCGCGGGAAGTCAGCGCTCAAACATGGCGTCGCGGTGGCTGACTTGGCCCTTTAATTTGGTCCGTCGTTATCGCCTTAATTTAATTGCTCGCATTGCACACCCCTTTGCAATTCAAAAACTTACTTTTAAGAGCTACTTCTTTGTCGGCAAGCTCGCATTTTTAATACAATAATTTTTGTATCATTACCGCGATTAAGTTCTCAAGTTAAGAAGGCAATGTTGCATTTTTATTGGCATCTTTCTTTTTCTTCTTGTATGTATATATGTACTCTAAATTACAAAATAGCTATAATAACAATATCTACAAGCATCTTTTTACAAAAAATATCACTGTATTGATCTAAAAAAAAATTTATGAAATCACTACCGAAAAGCTCGAAACGGGTGAACGCACTCGAAATCACGGGATAGCCAACTAAGTTGGAACAGTTTGGGCAATTTGTTACCATAAATGTCTCAGCAACTCGAGGGTGCGGTGATTCTGAATTACAATGATATCCTCAACGTATTTCTATGTAAATATACTACAATTTTACTAAAGGAAACCCACGACTTGTATATCGAGACTGTAAATTCAAATACAATAAAATGATATCAAAAGTTATTAAAAATTGCAAGAAAGGATTCAAAGCTAAAGCCAGATCCCCTTGATTTGGCTAATATAATAAAGCACATATACACACACTACCTTTGTGGCGTAGGATGTCAGTAAGCACAGCATGTTTTTGAATAATTCCTACTTTAATAAAAAGTCCTAAACTTACAACACGCTTTAGGCTATATATTTTCACGCTATTAAACTTAGGGGGTAAATAAATTGAAAAAAATCCTTCATAAGGGACCATAAACTACAAGCTGCCAACATTAAGGAAGCAAGGTTAGTATGGTAACGGTAATTGTTATCAAATGTCGAAGGCCTTCGATGTCATTTGTGCATTTGAATTTTTGAAGCGGATGAAGCCGCACGAGAACAGCTAGTATATTAAAATGGCGTGGTTTTAAATCAGTTACAGCGTTTTTACCATAAAAATTACAAAGTCTAATTATAAACAGTAAACAATACACCTTTTGCTTACAAATGTTAATCAATACAAGTTTCCTCCCCCCCACTTCAAGGGCTCCCAATAGGGTGGGTCTTGTAATACTGATACGCCTATATCTTTATTTGAGACTTATTCTCTCCCTTTCGACCCTCAAGCTTCAAACCAACGTCATTAATATTTATACCTTTGGAGAAAAATATTACATCTGCATTTTTGTTCGTGTTATTGAACGTTCCTGCAAAACATGAAAATAAACTTACAGGCTATATGTTTTTTTTTTACTAATGTCGCTCCAATGGCTGAGTTCTAAATACGCTTCGATTGATTATATGATCATTTTATTATTTTACTAGCTGTCGCCCGCGACTCCGTCCGCGTGGAATTAATAAAAAACAAAAGTGAATACTGTATAAGTTCTTTCAGATTATCCTCTACATCTATACCAAATTTCATCTAAATTCGTTCAGCCGTTTAAGCTACAAACTCTAACTAACATCCATCCATCTAAACTTTCGCATTCATAATATTAGTTTGAGTATGATGATATTAAGGGCCTGTCCTACCAAGTTGTAAATTGTCTGATAACAATCCAAAGTGTAAAATAATTGATGGAAATATCGGATTTTATTACCTTATCTGAAAGTGGCGTAATTTTTAAGCTATCTGAGCCTCTATCAGTAAGTTGGACAGGCCCTAAAACTCTTATAAAAAACCAGAAAGACTTTTATGTGTCATTGCACACAATAAAATTCAAAGTTGGAACGTAAAGAAATAAAAAAGACTCTCTTTAGAAAAATGGCATTATTTACACATTCAATTACAAGTAAAATAACATGACATGTTTATAATTCAATTTTGTTACCAGACACCAATATAATTACATACATCGTATTGTTCGGGGCAGAGACAAAAGCTCACGTTTCACGTAGGGTTGCTAACTTTTATTAAACATAGAACAATAAAGAATTTACGACAATTATCAGACATCACTTCACTGACGAAAACGATTTCAAAGAACCATAGCCCGAATATGCACCATTCAAACTAAGGTCAACTAAAAGAGATGACAACCCTAATTGCATACGGGGTTGCATTGTCTGACAGAATTATACCTTATCTATAATTGATCTATTAAGTACGTTAATTTAATTCGGAAAGTTATCGTGGTATGGACATATGCGACGGAACGATGGGGACTTAAGCCAGAAAGTGTTAAGATTGAATGTGGATGGCTACAAAGGAAGAGGAAGACCGAAGAGAGTATGGATGGATTGTGTGAAAGAGGATATGCTTAAGAAAGGAGGAGATATGACGGCTGATAGAGATGTATGGAAGAGCAGCACATACTGTGCCAACCCTCCGAACGGAATAAGGGCAAGTGGATGATGATGATGATGTAGTAACTTTGCCCAAGGCTACCACAATTATAAAAAAACAAAGCGTAAGATTTACATTGCTATCGGAATTGCCGAATGATTTAAACCTTTGGTAGTTTTACGTAGAAAATTTAAAGCACAAATATGATAAAGTAAGATGGAATTCTAAGAGCGTGCGCACACCTGAAACTAAAATATCGCACAACTGTTTAGTCTCACTTTGATAACTATGAGCTTACTAGCTTTCGCCCGCGACTCTGTCCGCGTGGAATTAGAAAAAAAGTATGTGTTCTTCCAGACTATGTTCTACATTT